TTCTGTTTTGGAGCAGACTTTGTCAGCCTTGGCTGGATTTTTTGTCACCGGCTTGAAAAACTCCCTTTGCTTCTTTCAAGGATTTTGCTATATCCCCAAGATCAGCAAGACGTATTCTTCCTTTTCACCGTCTCTTTGGGACGGCTTAGGTCCGTTTGGACCACCCAGTGGCAAAAGTGTTGGCTGTGGTCTCAGAGCATTGAGACCACACAACCATCTCGTCGCGACATTGGCTCCTCCTCTCAAAACTTCAGTGACTTTTCTGATGTTTTAAATAAAGCAAATTTAGCCTTCCAGTGCTTTGGTACATGTCTTTTATTTGCAATAGCCAAGAAAAAGTGTACAAACAAAATGTATCACAAACCAGTAATAGAAAGAGTGGGCTAATTAATATACTTGCGTTGAACTTACTACAGATTCATCATAAAATAATCATGGTGCAAGGAAATAATCAAGTGTAGGAAAGTAACTCAACATGCAGAGAAAATTAACACAATTCACCCACCGAGCTGCTGTAGTCATTCAAAGACCCCTTTCTATTCCAGGAAATATGTATTTTTTTCTCCAGGATTGAATGCCGGCAATGCTATTCTTGTAGAAGGCAGTTGTGCCTAGCACATTGCTGGCTGATCGAGCAGACTGAATTACAGTTCTTGTTTTATTATTTGTTAACTATTGTATCTTGCAAAACATTAAGAAACTAGGCAGGCTGATGCAGCAGGCCAACCTTGGCTGCAACTATATTTAAGTGTTACACTTTTTACGCAATCAGAAATCCTGAGAACTCTCATCATTTCTAAGAGTAGGACATTTCTGGAGAAATAACTCACTGCCTTTTAAAAAAATTAATCCTGTAAAGCATCGTAAAGATCAAAATCGTTAAAAAGGGTATCTTCAGACTCTGCTCTTTCAGGCTTCCATGGTGTCCCGGGACATTTTGGTGGTTCTGGTAGATCTGGCAGGTGATGTAAGAAAACGGGGGAATCTGTAGAGCTACTGTGCACTGGGGAGGCATCAGGAAACCCAACAGGTTCTCCATGGGGACTTCTACTGTTAGCCTCCTGTTCCAGAAAAGCTTTTGAAGTAGGCAGTTGACTTGGGGTTTCAATAGCGGGTAGAACTGCAACTTCTTCAGAAGAACTCTCTTTTGACTTCTTATGCTTGTGTCGGTGGCCGTGTCTGTGTCGGTGGCCATGGCCCTGCTTTTTTTCATGAGCGCGACGTCCTCTGGGATCAATATGGAATTCCTCCACAACTCTTGGTCCTTCCGGATCATTAGCGACAGGGAGTGCACTTCGGAAAGGGGTGAAACCTGGAGGTACCCTAAGATAGTTCTGAAATATTGTTTCATTATTGGGAATTCTCCAAGCAATGTATTTATTTAAATGCATTTAACATTATTTATTCCACATTTCCATTTTAACAAAGCACTAATATACTGTCATTACACAGTACACCAGCCATTTCCCCTTGTTAGACAGGAGGGAGAAAATTAAGACCATCCCAAAGGGGGTGGGGGAAATGCAAGAAAGGGAAGTGGCTGTCTGATGAAGCTTTACAAATAGCGGAGGAAAGAAGGAAAGTGAAAGATAAGGGAGAAAGGAAAAGACATACCCAGCTAAATACAGATTTTCAGAGAATAGGAAGGAAAGATAAGGAGGCCTTCTTCCATGAACGAAGCAAAGGAATGGAGTGAAACAATAGAATGCGAAAGACTAGAGGGGACGTCAGGAGAACTGGAGATATCAAGGGAACATTTCCTGCAAAGACGAGGAAGATGATAGCAGAGTAAAAGAGATGAAGAAGAGGTGGCAAGAATACGCAGAAGAACCATACGAGGAAGGTCTTAAAATGTCCCTGATAATTATGAAGGTGTGATTGCAGACCTCAGGCGAAGTCCAGTGGGCCATCACCACCAACAAAGCTAGCGGAAGAAACGGTATTCCAGCTGAGCGATTTACAATCCTAAAAGACGATGCTATTAAAGTACGGCACTCCATATGCCAACAAAATTGGAAAAACTCAACAATGGCTACAGGATTGGAAAAGGTCATTTTACGTTCCAATCCCAAAGATGAGCAATGCCAAAGGATGTTCAAATGACTGTACAACTGTGCTTGTTTCACACATTAGCAAGGTTATGCTCAAAACCCTACAAGCTAGGCTTCAGCAGTAGGTGTTGTGTGAGAGACCGCCTGCTGCCAATTACCTCCCACAGACCCATTAGATCTCACAGGGTTGGCCTCCCCCGGGTGCCATCTACCAGCCAATGCCAC